AGAAGATGTAATAAATAAAAGTAATTGGCAGTTCCTATCAAAGATAAAACTTATTTTCATGAAAATATAAACTTAAGTTTCTTTTTATCATGAATGACAACTTTTCCTGATCTAGTGCTGTTACTACAGTAATAATTCAGTTTCATTGTTAAACTTGTGTAATGTGTACAAAAGTTTATTGCAGCCAATGAGTTTGTTTTCTTCTTCAGAAGAGGAGGAAGAGGGACTAACATTCTCATCTTTGTTGTTTTCCTCACAAGGGACAGTAGAGAAAAGATGTAACCATAAATTGTATGCTAACAATTTCTTTTCTTGCACTTCTCACTTGTGGAACTCTCTTCCAGCTTCATGCTTTCCACTCAACTTTGATCTTCAAAAATTTAAATTCAATGTAAAACATTATCCCATGTCTTCTTAATTCATGTTCTTTTATTGTTCTCTCTCCTTAATGTTTTTCATTTTCTCATTCTCAGTAAACCCTTGGATCTTAGTGACTTTATGTGGATAAAGAAACATTTTCAGTTTGCTTTAGGACATCCAGAAGTTTGTTCATCCAGATGAACATCAAAAAACAATAGATAACTTTGTGAAGCAATTAGTACAATTCCCCCCACCAAATTATTTTAAACTGTTGAGTGCAACATACAATAGAAGAAGCAAAAGATGAGAACTGCCAAATTTTAAAATAAGCAAATTAACTTTGACAATACCTCATCCAAGAAAGAGATTAAAAAGTTGTTTTAAAATTCTGAGATTAAATATTTTTATTATTATATGGATATTTTATTATTTTTACAAGTTTCATCTTTTTGTTGCTTTTTATTTATGACATATTCCTTAAATGCCATTAAAATAAATAATAAAAGGAATTTGTGCTACAAAAGCAATTTTGAATCAAAGTTAAATTAACATACCATAAATTCAAAGAACAATTGCAGAAGAATGAAGAATGAGAATCATTTTGGTAGCATAAACTGTTAAAGCATTATCCGTGAATGATGAGTTTCTGAGGTAAAAGATGCAAGTGCAAGTCTTGCCTATAGTATCTTTATTCTAAATCAGTACAATTTACAAAAAGATATCAAAAAAGTTGATTTTACTACAGTATTTGTATCAGATGTTGCATATTTAATACAAATATTTTATTTAGAAATGATGGAGGTGTGATTTTTTTCCTAATGAGAATGAATATAATCTCTCAATTTTAAACTATTTTTTCACCAAGACAGTACAGTAGATAGTAATCATTTTTCATTTGCATTTCTCCATCACAGCACTTTAATTCTTCATCAGCCTTATAAATTTTGTCCAGTGCAATATTTTGCAATGGGTCAGTTTTGTTGAGCTAATCCAGTCTATAATCTACATTATTTTAGTTCCTTCTTTTACATGCCATGTCCCTTCAGAATGTAGGTAATCATGACTCTTCAAAATTTACTGTTATCTGTAGCCCTTAGCAATGTTAGTTTTTTTTTTTTTTTACTATTCTTCCCATTTCCTGATCTGACATCCATTTATACAAGATTGTTAGGTAAGTTACATATTGTTTCCTATGTTCCTTTTGCTTTCAATATAACTTGTGAGTGTCAGATTATCCAAAACCTCTTTCCTCATTACTTCACATTAAAAAAAATTTTTTTTTTTTTTTAAATCACCTCAATACCAAATTTTTGAAGAAGATTAAATTTGGACTTTTTTGCTTATCAATACATTCAACTGTTATAACTTATAAAAATGATTAAAAGTTACATATTCATGTGCATATTATTTCTGTGCATAACTAATTCCTAAATACATTTGAAAAAAATCAAAATGCCAATATGAACAGGTTAATGTAGAGAGTTCACAATTTTAGCTATAAATGTATGTGTTTTATCATACACTGATGATGAGTTCAAACATGTCTTTCCTGTTTAATAAATTTTAGTCCTCCATCTACCCACAAAATATTTCTTACTTAATCAGACATGGACTCTACCAAACTATAAAAACTTTGCCCCTGGGATTCTATACCAAGATGTTAACAGCAGCAAGTAACTTGGTTACTAAGCACATCCCATAAGTATTCACCACAACTAAATGTGTGATCCCTCAAATGATGCCATTTTAGAAATAGTCTGACTAGTCTTTTGGACATAATTTGATCTTAATCAAAATCATTCAAATCCTTCTTGCACATAACAGTATCATTCAACATATCAGAATGAAGTACTAGAAGCTAGCTTACAAACTTGTGTAACTATAACCCAGACATTTACAGTTGTTATGAGACTATATCTGTTATTATTGTTACATGTTACAAATTATAATTTCTTATGTCATCAATGCACATAAATAAATATAAATTTTTATTACTGTAAAATCCAGTTAAAGAAAGTTGGTTTGTTTCTAACTCCCAAATTTTGCATAAACCTTTTTTTTTCTCTATTAAACTTTTTATTGTAGCACATGAAGCAAGAGAAAACACGTAAGCAGGAAGAATGAGTATTTATGGATTCTATTATTGGTAACAAGTCTATGGTAAGAAAATCAATCACTGAAAACCAATTGTCTAATGAAAAAAAAAAGAAAAGAAAAGTGAGAGAAAAAACAGCTAACATTGAACATGTTGTTCTTTCCAACTGCAATAAAGGGTGTTAATGAGTTTGCTAGGTGCAGCTATTGACTACAGTCTGTTCCATTTGATGTCATAACCTCACACGGCTGTTTAAAACATTTATTTTTGTCATATGGAAAAATCCAACATGGCACGTAAACGAAATATTCAGTGAAAAATCGCATTCGTCAGTAACATTTTAAACACCTCATAGAATGTAAAGTTCTTAAAGCAAAACTATACCAAACTGTTTTCTTGAATCCTGGCTGTCTAAAAATGACGACATCAAGATGAAATAATGGAAACTGACTGTGAAAAACACAATTATGCGCAACAAGTTTTCAATCAATCAGTAAACTTCTGGACCTTTTCAGGCGACGTTATAGGATCCAGACAGCTATTGTTCGCACATGGAATTATTCACTAGTAATTAATCTTCAATTTGGCTGTGGAAAATGTCACTTGGCGGTTAGCATTAAGAAATTATGCCCAATTTCCTGAGATAAACCCCCTTTTTTTATGAAAAAATATTTATTTTTACTTCAAAGTAATATCATTCAAACTTCATCCCTTTTTCCTTAATTTGGCATGAACATCATTGAATAAAAGGAACGACTAAATGGCCCGACAATGGGAAATACGAAAGACATGCAGTAAAAAAAACAATGTCGTCTGCTAAGTGTTGTTTTCATCGCAGGGTCACGGGGTGTTAAAAACAAAACAAAACACATCAAGCCATTGTTCAAACATAGGTTTGAAAAAAAAAAAAAAAAAACCTTATATCAAGACCTACCAATGTTGACCCATTTTTGTTTTTTTTTCACTCTTTGCTCTTATCTGGGAGAGGTAGGTTTTATTACAAGCTGACGACAACTTGTTCTAAACATTTATTGCTGGCTGACCTTTGACCCAGACATGTCAAAGCCAATTTGGCTTAATTTTACTTTTGATTTCTGGTGGTCAGGAATTGCAGATAAATCTTTTGCCTTTTAAAGATTTCCATGGCCAGATATCAATTTTTTTTAACCCCCAGCAGTCATATAATTATAAATTACCAATGGACTTTGTCACATTTTTATCCCCTAGGAATGTTGATTTCCTTCAAAACTCTCAATTTTATGCCTGAAATAGTTTGATTATGATTTAGGCTTTCTGATTTTCCAAAAACAAAAATTTAGAACTAGAAAAAAATGCAAAATTTTCATTATTTTTTCATATTTTACCCCCTGAAAAAAAATTGAAGTCATTTACACCAACCAATTTTACTTTTAAATGAAAGAATATATCCTTTGCTTTCAGAAAATACCTAGTTTCATGGGGTTCAGAAAAAAAAAGTTTCCTTGATATTTGTTTAGATGTTTCAATATTTTACCCCTATAAAAGTATGAAAATCCATTTTTTGAGAGAAAATAAGCTGTGACAAAATGACTTTTGCCATTTTTGTGATGATTTTTACTTGGGATAGAAAATTTTTACCATAGTAAACCTGAATTGACTTTATTTAAGTTCAGTGGGGCTATAGGAAACCTCAAACACTCATCACACTGAACCAATTATAATGGAAAAATAAACAAGAATCAACAGATTCATATAAATTGCAAGGTACTTAAATTTTGGAGACAGAGAAATTATTTGGTTATGTAAAAATATTGATTACTTTAATCACATGGAAATCTTAGCTTGCTTTAAAAAATACAAAATGATGAGCAGTGTATACTTTTGATTAGTATATGTAATCATTTGAAACTTGTAACTAAACCATAAAATATTGAATTTAATCAAGAAATTCAAACACTGGACTTTTAAAATTAATCCTTAATTTAGACAAAACCAGAATAGAAAGCCTTATACTGATATTAAAGAGAACAGATGAAAACACATTAGGAACAGTTGGCTCTAAGACAAACACGTAGATATGAATATCAATATTAAAGGTAATAGATGATTCATACATTACCATTTTTTACATGCTGAAATTTTCTTTATATTAGCATTAAATATACACTGCTCTTACTGACTGAAAGAGAAAACTGGTGTTAGACTTTATTGTTTTCTCATCAGATGGGCAGACATGCCTGTGAAATGTTTTTATGAAACCTTCCAACAAAAGTGATCCCCAAGCTATCCTTTTTAACAACCATCTAATTCAAAACAACACACTATGGAGAATGGAGAAAAGAAAATATAATGTTCTTAGTTTTATTTTATCAATTAAGAATAAACAAATTAATAAATTTGGTTTCTGTGGTGAGCTGGCTGTAAAACCTGATCTTATTCATTTGGAAATGATTTGTTTAGAAAGTAAAAGTATATCCAACATGGCAAGTTAATATTTTTAAACATTTACAAGCAAATAAGCAATAAAGTAACAGTAAAAAAAAAAAAAAACAAAAAAAAAACTCACCTTTATTCCTACTCTGTTGCATATGGCCTTTGATAGTCTCAGCCATGTAGGAAGTTCCAAGATGTCCATCAGCACCGTCTCATCAAGTTCCAGATTGGCTAATTCTCCCTCCCCTCGTAGAGCACTCAAGCTGATCTTGTCAGGGGATAGGTTTTTGGTGAACCTGAAAAGAATAAGAGTAAATATAAGAATTGGTCATTTAGTAGATGTGTGTATGGTATATAATCATATTAAAAACAAAAGATATATCAACTGTTAGCAAGTAAACACTTCAGGCTTGATCCTAGCAGTCAAAGGTCAAATAGTTGTAAGATGAAAGTTTACTTGCCAAGTGTTACTGTATTTTTTGCTTTTAATACTACCCTAAATTGCTCTGTCTTATTCTGCAATGTGCACTTGCATTTATTTTTTTATGCTTTTTTCATTTTTAGGGTATAAAACATTTCCCTAAATATAAAAATAGCATTTGCATTAAAATTTTCCTTCACTAAAGATTACATATATAGTCACACAATAAATTTTGGTGGTAAGGAAAAAACTGAAACAAAAACTGCAGTTGTATCTTAGGACAAACTGCATTTGCATTCAGTATACAGAGACAAAGCATCCGTTTTAATTTTTATTACTGCCCACAGACTTTATGACTATTCTCTCACTTGACTTTTTCTACACTAGCAAACTAAATAATCCTATTAATATTGGTGTGTGTGTGTGTGGGGGGGGGAAGGTGAATTAATGATTAAACACCAAATTTTGTAATTGCTTTTTTTCCCCCAAAAGAAGTTTCTTACACTAAACCTGTGTTACACATTGGGGCAGGGAGAAGATTATGAATGGTTAGGAATTAAAACAACCTTTATTTAAAAAAAAATAAAAATAAGCCTCTTTTTTTCATATATATATATATATATATATATACACACACACACACACACACATATACAGTAGCGTCCAAAACTAAGGGACAAAATTTTAAAACCTAATATTTGTTAGAAATAACAACTGTGAAAAGCTGAAATTTTGACAACTGGTAGTCGTTATCATCCATAATAACATACTAAAATTTGAATCATTTGCAAAGGATAGAAAAAGAATTATAACAATTATTTATTTATTTTCAAATTTGGAACGTCCAAAAGTAAGGGACAAAATTGAGAAAAACAATGTAAATGGCAAAAAACAATAAAAATACATGTACAATCAATATTTAGTAAATGAGCCCTTGCTCTCAATGACAGCTGCACATCTTCGACTACAAGAACGAATCAGTTCTTGACAATCCTCAATACTAATTTTAGACCATTCTTCTTGAAGCTTCACCCACAAATCCTCTGTGTTAGTGGGATTTCTTTCCATAACTTTCACTCCTAAGGTCTTCCAAAGATTTTCTATTGGATTTAAGTCAGGACTTTGCGGTGGCCAATCCATAATTTCCAAATCTTGCTCGCTAAGGTAACTCATTACCACCTTTGCCTTGTGACATGGGGCATTATCTTGCATAAAGGTAGCCCTATCGAAACCTGAATTCTGTATGATTGGCACATGATCTTGAACAATGTTTTTATAGATCTGCGCGTTTACACGAGTTTGTAACCAGACAAGAGGCGTTGTACCTTGGCTAGAAAACATTTCAAATACCATGACGCTTCCACCCACAAACTTGACAGTTTTCTTAGTACACTTTGCACTTAATCTTTCACCCATACGTCTCTTTACATTGTTTTTTCCATAATTTCCAAATAAATTAAACTTGCTTTCATCACTGAAAAATACTTTTGCCCAATTTTCATATGTCCAAATTACATACCTGTTTGCAAACTCTAATCTCTTCTTCTTCGAACTAACAAGTGGTTTCTTCCCTGGGGTTTGATTAAACAGCCCTATTTCTTGCAGTCGTCTACAAACAGTCTGTCTTGACACATTAACACATGAGGTACTATTCATAACCCTTTTAATTTCTGTGCAAGACTTAAAACAGTCCTTTAATGACATACGCTGCATTATTCGATCTTCTCTTACCGAAGTTTTGCGGGGTCTGCCGGTTTTAAAAGCACTAACTATTTTGCCAGTGTCATTGTAGGATTTAACAACCCTGCCTACAACACTCTTGGAACGTTTCACTTTCTCTGAAATCTTTCTAATGGTGTGCTTTTCCTTGTGTAGCTTCACAATAGCTTGTCTCACAAAGTAATCAAGTTTTGGGCGTTTCGCCATGGTACCGGCTGATGCAACGTTTACAAATGACTAAGTAAGACTTATTCTTTAGAGGAAATCAAAAAATTTGAATATAGCATACTGTTTACATTGTTTTTCTCAATTTTGTCCCTTACTTTTGGACGATCCTATTTTGAAAATAAATAAATAATTGTTATAATTCTTTTTCTATCCTTTGCAACTGATTCAAATTTCAGTATGTTATTATGGATGTTATCATCCATAATAACATACTAAAATTTGAATCATTTGACTACCAGTTGTCAAAATGAATCATTTGACAACCAGTTGTCAAAATTTCAGCTTTTCAAAGTTGTTATTTCTAACAAATATTAGGTTTTAAAATTTTGTCCCTTAGTTTTGGACGCTACTGTGTATATATATATATATATATATATATATATATATATATATATATATATATATACACACACACATACATATACCTCACCCTATGTTGTTAATTGGTTCCAGCGATCACAACTCAAGTCGAAATAACCAAACTGCAAATAAGCACTTCCCATTGCTAATTACAATATTTATGATATGTACGTACAGTATTCTGAATAAAATAATAATTTCCACCTTACCTTCCAGCGATATAACATTTCTTCAGAGGCATGGGCAAAAATGTATTCTAAATCACAAAGAATGTCAACAGCAGAGCACAGATATAAACAAGTCTGAATTCAAAATCATTGTTTGAGTGGAAAACAACACAAGAGTGCTGCCTGTCAACAGGAATTTGAAATAAGAACATCTGCTGAACATACTTTATTATGCTATTTTTTTGTTTTTAATGATTATATAATATTTTTAAATTTATTTAAATATGATTTTATGTGCCTATTGTTTTCTTAGTATTTTGATATTTCTAATATTTTTAATAGTCGACGTAAACTCAAGTAAAACGACCTAAAGCAACTTTTATTTTTCCATATATTTAAGAAAAACCAACGTATCTTTGAAAATGACTTCAACTCGAAACGACTTAAACCAATGTATTACTGCATGCATATATATATATATATATATATATATATATATATATACACACAAAATTGGTAATCCATATGGAATTTCCAAGAGGATATATCCATTAAGAGCTCTATGTCAAAAGACAGAGCAAAAATTATTATATTAAGACAAACAAAATATTAATTCTATCATTTATTTATTTTTTTATCTGATAATCTGATTTTTTCTATATGCCAATCTATGTCATATCTAAGATCATCTCTAATGAATCGTTTATGTTCAATTTTCAATTCAATTCAGAGTTCAATTGTATGGATGAGGATGAATTCACAGTTTATTCTGTTTTTCTTCACCTTTTCTTTCTCCATACACATTTATAAAAAATTTAAAAAAATAGGACACAAAAACGTTTTTACTTAAGTCTTGAATGGAAAACATTTTATTCTCTTAGAATAAGTTCATTTTGAATTTGTAAAAAGAAAAGTAAAAGCATATACACAGTTAGAAATGGAAAATTTATCTGCCCTAGTAAAAGTGAGACCAAACAAAATCACAGAAAGGAACATTTATTCAATTAAAAAATTTCCAGTTTTCTATGTCAGACATGAAGTAAGTTTTTTCAAAAGATTAAAAAAAAAAAGTTGTAGATTCAAAAGAAGAACAAAAAACTTTATGCTGACAAAACAAATGAATTCTTCTATGAATTCATGTTATCTTACACCTAGCGCACACACACGAGTTAAACATTTTTATCTTGGTTATTTAACAGAATAAAATTGAAAAAAATGTGTTCCCTTGTCAGGAACACCTCCTGACAAGGGAACATGTTTTTTTTCAATTTTCAGTTTTTCAATTTTCAGTTTGGTTTTAATAAAAAAAATTGACAAAAGTCTGAATGGGTCAGAGAATTAATAGAGGATTTTGGAAAAAAAAAAAAAGTTATTGTCTTTTGTAGGATTGGATCTAGTCAAAGAAAATAATTGACAGAGCAGTGCTAACTATTTTATTGACCCGCCATCAAATTATATGGAAAATCTCCAACATTTTTGACAGACAAAAAGAACCATTTACTTAGTATAAACCTTCTCACATGGTCAGGATAAAATATAAGTTTCTTTTTTTTTGTTTTTTGTTTTTTTTTTAATCATTTCACCCTAAGTAAGACAATAAAGCCACTAAGATGTAAGAGGTCACTAAGTGTTAGAATGTGAGAAAAAAAAAAACACTATTAAAGAGAGAAAATAATAAAGAACAAAAATGAAGACAGAAGATAACAACTGATATTGCATTTACATTTTTGAAGATCAAAGTTGACTGGGAAGCAAGAAGCCAGAAGAAATTTCTATAAGCAAGATATGCAATAGAAGAAACTCTTAGCATAGAACTTACAGTTACATCTAGCAGCCATTTCAACTGTGAATGATGAGACCTTGCTGCCAATCTAGTACTGCACTTAAATTCATAGTCTATGTACCAGAGAGGAAAGTTCATCAGAACAGTTACCATGAAAGTATTTATAGAAAAGGTACAGGGAAGTTACATTATGGTGGTGAGAAAGTGACTGGAGCCAAGATGCCAGGTCAGGACCAATAACATTGCAGATTCTTTTGATTTTATCAAGAATCTCTAAATATATAGCAGGAGCAACAAACCAAATGTGGCAGCAATATTGAAAACATGGACAAATGGTAGACTTATAAACATCTTAAAATAGAAAATTAAAGGGTCTATATGAACTATTTTTCTCATTACACCAAAGTAAACTACATTTATATGAGCACCACTATCCAAGTAAATTGTAGGAAGACTGTTTTTTATAATTTAATTTTTTTTAAATCATTTATTGTATTATAAATAAAATTTATTTTTCAGAGCAGTAATAGTTTTTTGAGGTCATGGCAAATATACTATTACAGGCTTTAGACATTAAACATCAATTTTGTGCCTGAGAGAGAAGATATATATGCTTGT